TTACCTCGGCCCTACCCTACCGCCATCCTACCCCCACCCTACTGCCATCCTACCCCAACCACCATCCTACCCCCACCCTACCCCTTCCCCTACCTCACCCCCACCCTGATCTTGGCCCCACCCTACCGCCATCCTATCTCAACTCCCTACCCTACCCCTACCTTACCCCAACCCCTACCCTACTCAGTACCCCCATCCACTACCCCACCCACCCCACCCATACCTTCCTTCCCTACCCTAACCACTACGAGTAGGTATGGGTGGGTACGAAGGGTTTTAGGGGAGTATGGGTAGAGTGTAAGATCGTGGTAAGGGTAGGGGTATGGGTAAATGGTGTGGAATTGGGTGTAGGGTGTAAGGTGGGGGTACAGGGTATAGGGGCAGTGTAGGGGTTAGGAGTATGGGTACACGTACGAGGTGTTTATATATGTATAGGGTTATTTTGGATATTTTATTGTTAAACGGTGTTTTAAACCTTTTGAAGTAAACATGATCTTATAACATTGTTTATTGTATGTGTCGCTTATTAACACGAGTCTTAGTAAGCACCATTTAGTAACACGTGAAGTAAACGTGTCAGTCTTCTAGATGATCACAGAACTGGGTGAAAAAATTGATGAACATGTTTTGAGATTTGAAAATGGAAAACTAGAAATAGAAACAGAAAATTGGAGATAGAAAAACTGAAAAATAAAAATAGAAAATTGGAGAACAAAAAACAGAAGTAGAAAACAGAAAAGTATCTCTGTTAGTAAACAGGCCCTTAAATTTTACTACATACTATATGTGTCATTTTTACTATATATAAGAGTAAATTTGTTGTGATTTCGTTCGTTCTTGATAAAATGAATCCATGATCTGAAGAACGCTTGAATATTCAAAAAGTTGCGCTTTGAAGATTCGAAAATCTGATGAACAAGGCTTTAATTTGAAGATTCAAAGATTTGAAGAACAAGTCTATGAAGATTTGAAGATATGCATATCTTGTGGAAGCGGTCCAACCCAAGTGGTCGCCGACTCACTCTCCCTTACGGGAGGTCTCGGGTTCGAAACTCAATGGAGTGAGTTTCAGCCTAGATTACTCCAGCCTCCCCTGGCCCCCTCCCCCAGACGCCCCCTGGAGTAAAAAAAGATATGCATATCAATATTGAATTTAGATTTAATTTATCACGCCCCGGACCTATCCGGACACGTCAACAACCCACCGTACAATACGAATAGTCAACCGCAGTCTAACACATCCATATTATACAAGGCATCTTGAATATCATTCACACATAAGTCATCCATAAACATACATAATAAGTAATTTAATATGCAGCGGAAAACATAGTTTAAAACAAATGTCACACGGGGCAAACATGAGCATGCAGGCTCTATAGTGAAAATATACATGAGCATGTTTATTAATGTTCAAAAACAGAATGGAGGAAGCACGAGCCAAGTCTTCTATCCAAGATGATCACTTGAGCAACGAGCACATGAAGCAAGCTCTACCCTTAACCTGAAATGGTGGTGGGACGCCCCCGAAGGGGTCAGCACTCTATAGGGCTATAAAGTGCTGGTGTGGATGACATCTAATAGAAATACAACAAGTATTTCAAAAACAAGACCCTCAAATAGGGTGCTATTATAATCTAGGCCGTAATCCCAAGTTACCCCTTTTCAAAATATACTTAATTTATACGAAGTATATAAAGTCAAGTAGTCGGCTCGTAGGCCCAAGGTTTGTTTACAAAACATAACCCAAGCCCCGTGATCCCTAGTCACGACAATACATAGGGTCCAACCCTAACACATATGTTTGCATTTCTTGAGTCCAACTCAACTACATCGCCATGCATCTTATATGACACAAATTAATTACCCCACCGTGCATTTCTTGAGTCCAACTCAACTACATCACCATGCACATCATATGACACAAATTAATTACTCCACCGTGCATTTCTTGAGTCCAACTCAACTACATCACCATGCACATCATAGGCTATAGCCTCATTTCTCCCATGCATTTCTTGTGTCCAACTCAACTACCTCACCATGCATGTCATCAATCACCACGTCATGTCTACCCAATGCAATTCTAGAACACGGGCTCAAGTACATCTCCTTACATTAGCATAGACCCCAATTCCTAAGCACTCGATATGCCTAGAATTGTAATATCAATAATCTATTTTGGGACATCCTTACGGGCTGCCCAATCATGATCTTAGCATCACATTACATCAATTTAGTCACTTGAATCACAATCAAGTACATCACTTACAATCAAATCCTTAGATTCAATTCCTTAACATTTACAAACAATCATTAACTAGTATTTCAATACTATTAAGATTATTCCCATCAATCATATATTTCATTTGTAAATCCCTACATATTTAGAGATATGTAGCAACAACTTAATCATCCAATGTAATACATAAACAATCATTTATGTATCTGCACAATTCACACATGAGTAAAAATATCTATTTCACACAATAGTTCATTTAACTCCATTTTTATCAATATGATTCCAAATCATTTCCAATTTTATTCCTTATCTAATAATTATATCAATATTTCACCAATAGACAGTCATTTTAATCCATGAAAAACATGATTTAGACATTTAGGTAATCTCATGCTTAACCTACAAGTCGTAAGCAACTAGATGTCGATCCTCACCTCAAATGAGCTTTAAATTGTTCCTTCTCAACCTAATGCTCATGCTTCGGCCAAGGGGGTTTGAGAATTTATTCCTTACTTATAAATGAGTGTTAAACAGCCTCCTCAAGGTGCTAGCTCAACTCCTAGCCGAAGACACGAAAACAGTCCCTAGAACGGGTGTTTTCCGGCGAATTCGTTCTCTAACCTTTCAAGGTTTTGTCTAGGTTAGTATCTAACATTTCCAACAATTAATGTTGCTTCATAATAACATTTTATACACTTTGACCAATGCATAATAGTTATTCAATCATTTATATGATTTAGACAATAGAGAGGAAGGTTTTGGATTCAAACTTACTTTGAATATCAAAAACGTATTCTGCAAGGTTGCATTTTGTTCGGACTATTTGGAGGCCTTAAACTGCTTCTTTTTCTTCAAACAGAACGTCTATGGATTCCTATTTTAGAGAGCTTTCATATGACACCTCACACGCCCTTATTGGATGAGTAAAACTCAAGATATGAGTCGAACAAGAAGACTTTTGCACTGGAATTCTCCCTGTTGCGGCGCCCTTATCTCTCTTTTTGGATTGTGAGTCTCTCCCTTATTTCTTATCCTTTGAGTTCGAATGGGGGGCGAGGGGGAGATGTTTAGGAGCTCTCAAGATGTTATCTAAACATGTGGCTCACAAAAATAAAAGGTAGGGTGTTTGATTGCAACCAAACATGGGATGAGGGTGTTTGATTGCAACCAACCATGGGATGGTCCTCCTCTTTTATTTCTCTTTTGTATTGTTTGAGCCCTCAACTCAATAGGTCCGCCCCATTTATGTGTTCTAACTTATTGTACCTGTTTTGGAGGTGCTAGGAAGATGTGGGGCACCCTCTTATGTCCCTAATTAATTTGGGTGCAAAATATCTACCAATACTTCCAAACATGGAAAGATGGGTCCTATTGTTTTTATCTTTTGTCATAAGATGTACATTTTGTACTTATCCTCTTTTATTTAGATCAAGTTAATCTTCTACATCATATTATTGATCTCTAATATGTGTAGGATGGTCCCAATAATTTATATGATGTATAATTATAAAAGAAAACCATATTCCCATTATTTAGCCTAATAATGCCAAAGATGAGACCATAGACATTTGTATTCTTCTCCAACCATTCTATCACTTATTTATGACATTAATATTCACATAGCTGGGCTACTAACCGTGTGGGTCACCCTCCAGTGGGTCTAGGACGTCATTCCTGAATAATTGCTATTTTTTGCAGGTTATGCCCAAAATAATCTTTGGGCTGCCCGACCGCTCTTACTTTGTAGCGAGGGGTTATATATTTTTATTTCAGAATGTTGGGTCCCAATAATAATAAGATGACCCAATTAATTATTTGGAAGTCGATTACTATTATACGAGCCCAAACAGTAATATGATTAATCACACTTTACATAAAACTTAATCGTTTTACAATTGTTCGATAATAGGGAAATTCAATACATAAGCTTTGAAATTTAGTTTGAATTTCAAGGACGCTTGGGTGCAGTGTCACATAATGGAAGATCAAATCATATATCTTGCGGAAGTCCTTTAACAGAAGATCAAGCTAACAAAAATGACTATTTTGAAAAAGATCAAATTAGTTGAAAACTGGAAGCCCTATAAAAGAATTGTGTACTCAAAAACGTTGGGAGATTCGATGAAGAACCTTGAGTATCCAAAGGATTAAAGATTTGAAGAACACTGAGTATTTGAAAGATTAAAAATTTAATTCAAAATTAAATTTTCAATCATAGAAAGTAATAGAATCATGGAGAGCAAAACTTCTATCAGAATTGAGCATGAATGGACACTCATTGAGCTACACACACGTTCTAGCCATTTTTTAGCTAGCTTCTCCCCTCCATTTGAGGCTCCATTCTAATCTGGTTGTCAGTGGTGTGGCTGTTTCTCATAGGGTTCAGATTTTGGCCTATTTGTGATTTTAGATGTGTTAAATTCGTCATGTGTGTTGGAACATCAATATTATCACTATACGTACTTAGCTTGGACCAAACCGATGGGAAGTTTTTCTGACTACCAATGCATATTTATTTGGGAAAGTTCCCGAAATAGGATTGTCATATTTTTATTTCCAAAATATGACTAATTACTGTCATGTTTAGAAAATACTGCCATGTTTGAAGTTTGGTACTGCCAAAACAGGGCAGTAGTTAGTCCTATTTTGGGAATAAAAACATGGAAGTCCTATTTTGGAATTTTCAAACTGCTTTAGTCCTATTTCGGGTAATATCTCTATTTACTATGAAGTATTACTCTCGATGGTTAGAAGTTCATTTTAGTAACAAAAAAATGATTACTCCGTATCTTATAGAGACATGCACATAAATGTGCAAATAATACATAATGTTGTATTTTCACAAGCAGAAACTCAATAACTTAAAAGTAGTAGCCATAAGCCATATATCAGTTTACAAAATTAAACAACATACATATCTATAAATATCGATCATAAGAACATTCCAACCATCCTTACCCAACAATAAGTAAGGTTATACTCCAAAATAATAATCTCACTCTATGGAAGGGTCAAGTTTACTCCTCTAACCAGTCATCCATCTATTTGGTAGTTCACTCAAATGTGATTGATATATAAATATAATCAAATGGATCAATACTTAGCAGATGGAATGGAATCCCAAGCGGAGTCTGCATTGGGGCGTAGCGGCATATCCAATGACATTTCCGAGACACTCCACACTTTTACTGACTTGTCAAGGCTCCCACTGTAAACAATCCACCTTTGATCACTCTCGCTCGATTCCTTATCCTCCGTCACCGCTAAACACTTGACGGGTTCGTTATGACCCGTCAAGATCGATAGACAAGTGTGGACCGACCTTTCTCTCTTCCACACGCAAATTGTCTTATCCGCTGATCCGCTAAACACAGTATTACCCGCTGCCGCGAGACAGAGCACGGCTAATTTGTGTCCCTTGAGGACCCCACCGTGTGACATCTCTTTCTCCCTCTCCCAGAAATTCACCACCCCGTCCGACGACCCGCAGTACAGAACCGACCCGGATTTGTTTACGGCTAACGCTGTCACCGCACACTCTTGACTAAGAAGTGTCTGAACGGAGATATGTTTGACACCTTTGCCGGTGGATTCTCTCCTCCATACCTTGACGGTCCCATCGGCGGAGCCGGTGTAGACCATCCCGCCGGAGCTCGCCACAACAGAGTTGACGGCATCGTCATGGGCCTTGACGGATTCAAGGCATTTCGAGTTCCCTGCCCTCCACACCTTAAATGTCCTGTCCCAGGAAGCAGAGTATAAAAGCCCTGCCTCCGGTTCCATGCTCAGGCAAGAAATGGCGTCACAGTGTTTAATCCACAGGGCGGTCCGGTTCCGCTTCACCTCGACGTAGTTGCTCGGCTTGATTGAGGCCTTAAATATGTCGAAGAACGTCGGGAAAGTCCCGGCTCGTTTGTGCACGGACGGGTTCTTGGGGTTCACCTTCCAGACCCGAACCTTGCCGTCCTGGTGGCCGGTGAAGATCTTGTCGCCGGAGATTATAATCGCTTTGACAAGCCCACTGTTTGATTTGAAAGCCCCGAATTCCTTCATCTCCTTCCAGACCCGAATGTTCTTGCTGTCGGAGCCGGTGTAGAGAATCCCGTCGCGGGCGGCGAGGGAATAGATGTGGCCCTCCTCCCGGACGAGGGATCCGACGAGGCCGTTGAGGGGGAGCTTCTGAGAGGCATTACCGTCGCCGTCGGCCCACAGGGTTTTGGTGAAGGCGGTGCTCTGGTTCCAGGGCGACATCATCATGGGAGAGCCCTCGCCGCTGAGGCGGCTGGCCTCGAAGCCGGAGTAGCTGCTGTTGCGGTTGTTGAATTCGTCTTCGGCGGCGGAGGAGGAGGACATGTTGGGATCGGAATGGGGCGCCGCCATTGCGTTGCCGGTAGCCGTCTCTGCGGGGGAATCAAAGTGGGCTTTGTGAATTCTGGTAGGATCATTCCAATTCCCAATTTAAATGAGGAATGTTAGTTGAGGATAAAAAATGGGAGGAAGATCGAAATTAAAGGGAAGAAGAAAAGAATGAAAGAAAAGAAAAGGCGTGGAGAAACAGACCGTACAACAGAGGAGTGAAGGAGAGCCTTTGTAGGAGGAAGCTCCTGGACACAGAAAATGATGCATCTATATATAAATGGAGAAGCATATAGTATCATTGTGTGCATGAGCAGGATGATTGGATGCAATATTCAACATTGGAACGTGCAACTCCTTTAATTTGGAAACATTAATCATATCCTCCCATCTTTAAATATAAATATAATCCAAATGTTTAAAAGTTACTCTCTAAATTTTATCGAGTCTAAAATAATATGTACATTATTAAAGTTGGTTACTCCGCCGATTTAACGGAACACAAGTAAACTAAAAAAATAAAAACTGTTTGATTGAACTTTAAACATATACAGTATGACAAAAGTAATTCGAAGTGTGGAGAATTTTCTAACTTGGAAGGAAAGTTTTTTGGACACCCAACTTAGAGAATTTTGTAAAGTGAGATGATATAGGGGGAGGTTTTAAAGAGTGCTCATTCAGCCCATGTGGTTGTGATTTCATAGAAGTCATATATGATTCTTTAATTTTTTTTGGTCATATAGGGGTACAAAAAACCAAATATTTGAGGATATATATACACACACGAAGTATATCACTTTGTAAATAGTACGGATTACATGTTTGAAATTTATTAAGAGCATGTTAACGTTCAAAGTTAGTTGTTCTGGTCTATAGCTATAACCTCTTCCTCATAATTTATTATTATTAATATTATGCGTACTATTTAATAGTTCTCTTTTTTCAAAGCTAGTAATTCGATCATTTTGGCTAATTATTTTGGACTTTGAAGCAAATCTTCTAAATCAACCATTGTAGCTACTCTAAGAATGTAAATTATCTAAGCTGAGACAGTGTTAGTGGGGGTAGCAAAATGGAAATGATGAGATGGACTTCATAAATGAGTTTGTTGATATAATCTTTTTCTAGTTTTTACGCAAAAAAATAAAACATGTTTATCGAACTTGGGTTGATCTCGGATAGGGCATGGCTCCGCTAGCTATGCCAGTGTGTAAATATTGTATGATGATATTAAATTGAAATAAATATACTCTTGAGATTTAAGGTTCTCGAATTAAGTATGTATTGTAGGGAATATTTATTTTACAAGTAAACATGGAAGTATCTATGCCTAATATGCTCATAACTGTGTTAGTATTTTTTATTTTTGTTTTTTACATTATGACCATGAACATGTTGTGAACTGTTTGTACATATTATATTCCCCTTTTTATTGACGTGGAATATTTTTTCTGAAATTCCAAATCCAGAAAGTTCTTTATTTTGTAAGTACTAGTAATTTTTTTGGAAGGTAATTTTAGGTTGTGGTAATTTTAGGAGCAAATGAGATTTGGAATTTCAAAATAGGATTAGTATGTTTTTCTTCCTGAAATAGGAGTTGTTGTCATGTATGAAAAATACTGGCATGATTGAAAAATATTTTCATTAATTATAATAAACATTGTCATGTTAAATGCATTGTACTGCAACTATTTGGCAGTCACGCTTTCAAGATGAAAGTAAATATTGTCATGTTAGTCCCATTTCGGAAATAAAAATATAATAGTCCTATTTTGGAATTTCAAACTCCATTTCCTCCTATTTTGGGTTTTGGGAAATCTCTCTTCATTTTATTGTGTGAAATGCGATACTGGATTTGGAATTCAATTGAACTTAGAACGCACAGGTCAGTTTCAATTGAATTTTGAGTCAGCAACTTGGACACATTCATATCATATTATCATGTGCTATTTTATTTTTGAATGTAACTTGTGAGACAGCAACTCGATCAACTTCTTGTATGAATGAAGACTTCTTTTCAATGTAATTAACACAAGAAATGTCATTTAATTTATTTTTCCCAATACTTCTTTTCAATATTTACTCCATATTTTTGAAGGCAAAAGAAGTATATGATCCATACACGTGCGAAGCACAAGATGCACACACCAGAAATAAGCTAAGAATAAGCATATCACATTTTAATTTCTCAAGAGAAAATTAATAAAAATACCCCAAACAACGGGTGTGATCGAGGTAAACACCCCTGAGTTGCATATGCAATTTAAATACCCCAAACCTTAAATAAATAGTTATTTTTACACCATTGTCATTTATTATTTCTTTCAAAAATGTAAATTTATGGGTTTAATTGCATAATTTAAAATAAAAAACTAAAAATGTTGCAATTATATAGATTGGGGGTAACATTATTTATTTCCTAAATGGAAGTTTAGAATGTTAATTATGTCTTCATGAATTCTAAAATATTTTAAATTATGCAACTTTGAAAGAAATAATACTTGACTATGGTGCTAAAATAACTTTTTATATAAAGTTTGAGGTATTTAAGTTACATATGCAAATTTGGGGTGTTCATCTCACACCCCTTCAAAATTTGGGATATAGTATTTTAATTGTTTTTCCCATTTCTCAATTATGAGTGTCTTTACTTTCTTTCCATATACTTCCTATAATAGGACCACCTCACTCAGCTCTTATTTTGGAAAGTTTAAATTATTTTATTAAAAAGATATTGACATTTAAGAACAAATAATACGGAGTATAATATATGATAAATTATAGTAAAATATATTATTATGTTTGTTCAATTTTATGTATTTGCCGGGACCATAAATATTGTACTGTATATAAACCATTCTCTATGTGAATAGAAGATGTTTTGCTGATAAAAATCACACAATCAATTTTTTGGGCCCGTGAAAGAAGTTTACTTTGGCGAATAGAAAAGCTATTGTGCAAATATATATATATATATGTATATATATATATGTGTGTGTATATATATATATATATATATACTACTATCATTATATTGTAAATTGATATATTTACAATATTTACTTGTATATATAATTAAAGGCAATTTTTTGGGCCCGTGCAAATATACATAATGAATTGATAAATGTTTATTCTATACCTATTGATTTGATTTAATTTAATCTCTTTCGATCTGATCTATTAAGACTTGTTTGGTCCGATCTTGTTTGAGTTTGATCTCTATACATGCATGCATGGAGAGACGTTTGTGAGAGTAATTTACATTTGGAGTTTACTTTTGGTGAGCTGATATAAGTGGCTTGAGATTGCCCATGCACGAATGACGGATGGGTTAAGATAATGACAATTAGAAGACAAGTGATTAGTGAGGGGATATATTATATACTCTCTCCGTTCCTCAATGTTTGTCCTACTTTGATTTTTGCGATCTTCTAGATAAACGTTTAACTGTAATTATCTATTAATTTATACCTATAAAATCTATAATTAATTAACATTTGAATAATACATATTATAAAGAATCACATAAAATTATTTTTTAAGGATAAAATATTATTAAAAGTTAAAGTAGGACAAATATGGAGGAGAGTATATCAGATAGGTTGTTGTATAATGCATAATTGCATGTTCTTGACTTCTTTCCCATTTGAATATAATGATGTGACCATTCCCTATATGGTGAATTCAGGTTTCTTAAGACATCCAAGCCGTCGGGTTCAAAGTCCCCTTTAACGGTCTATTCGGCACTGTGCCTGGACACGTCTCCAACTCCATGGCTGCCATCTGGCCTCTTTACAAAAGTAAAAATAGACCCACCAACCAATTTCTAGCTTTTCTTGGTCCAAAAGGTGGAATCTCCCACCCTAGGAGCTCTCATACCCCGATCCGACAGAATTTTTGGGAGGATGTTAATCACGGTGACTCAGTCGGCCCAATGATGATAGGTCTTTTTCCCGTGCGCACCAGAGGCCCAGCCTTATTTCAGGTTCTGTGACCTCCACACGGCCGCTGCGGGTTTCGAACCTTGGTCACTTGGTCCAAATTTCCCACCACTGAACCAACTGAGCTACCCGTGCGGGTAATTTCTAGCTTTTCTCAAGTCACTCGCATGTGTGTTTTTTTTTAATTTTACTTGCACTTTTCTACTAATGTTGTGGTGGTACATTATTCATCTAGCTTAGCTTGGGATTTAGTTTTTTATACTACGTAGTTTCGAAAAGTATATATGGTTGAGATCTAGCTAATTCTAGGTGAATGTAATGGGGTTTATTGGGAATTTAGTCTTGGGAATGAAATGATACAAGAATATATCATAAGAAGTACTAGTATAATATACTCCCTTCAATTCCTCCTTTAAAACTTTGTCATCTTTTCTTTGTGGGACGTTTCAAAAAAACTTTGTTACTTTCCTTTTTAATCATTTATTGTATGATTTTTGTTATTTCTCTCTCCTCTGCACAAACCTGAACCACACAGTTTTTACTTTATTATTTTCCATGTCAGTGAACTTTGGCAAAATCTTAAGGGATGGAGGTAGTATATAACAAGTATTGACAAACCACAAAAGATCAAATTGAGACAAATGATGAATTAGCAAGAATGATCGAGTATCACAAAAGTTATTGATAAGAATATGGTTTTTTCGTAAACAAAAGCAGATGAAAGTATTATTAGGCAGTCAGTTATCTACAATTAACTCTTACTTTTTATCTAGGATTAAGATAGTGAAAATTTAGTGACATGAAATTGTGCAGAAAAAGAGATAAAAGATGTGAGATATATATAGATTCTTTTTCATCATAAAAGGAGAATAGAACTTGTATTGAGCACGGGGAATGAAAAAATGAAATTTATTTTGTTATGGACAAAGTATTGTTTTATACTCGTACTTCGTAATTCATGTGAAAACAGTTTTTTCTAACTTAAATTGACTTAATTGAGTGAGGTTAAATGAGCTAAACAGAACTTGCGTAGCCTAACTAACGTAAGTTAAAACGATCATTTCACAATGGACATAATAATATACTCCTACCGTACTACTTCTAATATGATACTCCCTCCGTCCCCTCAAAGAATTCCCGCATTCCTTTTTTAGCAGTCCCAAATAGAAGTTCTTCTTTCCTTAAATGAGAAGTTATCTACATCAAAACAGTGTCAAACAGTGCAAAACAGTGTCAAACATTGCCAAACAGTGTCAAAACAGTAAAATTTACCCCTCGGTAAGTTTATTTCCTTAATACTTCCTCTGGTTCTCAAACAACTTCCCACTTTCCTTTTCGGAAAGTTCCGAAATTAACTTCACACTTTTTCTTATTTCCTTATTTGGCAAATTATCTACACCAACACAATGCAAAACAGTGTCAAACAGTTCCAAACGGTGCCAAACAGTGCACTCCGCAGTAAAGTCAAATTTATTTTCTTAATCTGTGTGACGTCAAACTATGAAGCTTTTTGAGAACCGGAGGAAGTATGTGTATAGGTCAAACCGTGAACTTCTTTGCGGGACGGAGAGAGTATTTATATATGCGATCAAACCAATTAATTAATTAACAATTACAAAAACAGAATAACAACCTTTAATATAAGGGAGAACTCCCTAAACATCAGTAAAAAAGTTTTGAAATTTCAAAATATGAGTATCATGTTTTTTATTCGTTGAATAGGAGTAAATTTCCACCAAGTTTGGCATTATCAGGCTTTA